TTCTTGTATCCTTTCACTTATTCCTGGTTGACCTCCTCCCCTCCTCATGAGGCACCACCAGGAGACCCCAGAGATTTTTACAGATTTACAGAGCCTGGAAAAGTGTACAAATCTGTAAAAATAACCAGAAAGTGGCCCCGGGAAAACTTCCCTTCTGAATCCTAAACCCACCCAGCCCAAATAAAAACCCTGCCTGGAAATTCTCAGGAAGAGTCAAAAACTGGAAGAAAGTCCCAGCTCCCTTTTCCACAGACTTCAAATCTCCCCCCTCTCTTTCTCTCTCTCTTACACACACACACACACACACACTCTTACACATACACTCACACACACTCTTTCACACTCTCTCACACACACTTTTCTCTCTCTCACACACACTCTCCCTCTTACACTCACATGTTCTCTCACACACACTCCTCTCTCTCCCTCCCTCTCTCTCTTTCTCTCTCTCTCTCACACACACACAGTCTTACACACACACAGACTTACACATACACTCACACACTCTCTTTCACACACTCAGGCTCTCTCTCTCACACACATAGGCTCTCTTACACAGACTCACACATTCTTTCTCTTTCTCTCTCTCAGATACATACACACACTTCTCTCTCACACACACTCTCCCTCTTACACTCACATATTCTCTCTCACAATACTTTCTCACACACACTCTCCCTCATACACACACACACTCCTCTTTCTCCCTCTCTCTTTTTCTCTCTCTTACACACAAACACACACACAGTCTTACACACAGAGACTTACACATACTCACACACACTCTCTTTCACACACAAAGGCTCTTTCTCTCACACACAGACACTCTCTCTCTTACATAGACTCACACATTCTCTCTCTCTCACACACAGACAGACACTTTTCTCTCTCACACACACTCTCCCTCTTACACTCACATATTCTCTCTCACACTCACACTCTCATACACACTCCTCTCTTTCTCCCCTTCTCTCTCTTTCTCTTTTACACACAGTCTTAAACACACACAGTCTTACACATACACTCACACATACTCTCTCATACACTCTCTCTCACACACTCAGGCTCTCTCTCTGACACACACACTCATTCTCTCTTACTCTCTTTCTCTCACACACACTTTTATCTCTCTCACACACATTCTCACATTCACACATTCTCTCACACACACTCTCACACACACTCAGGCTCTCTCTCTCACACACACTCACACATTCCTCTCTCTCTCTCACACACACACCCTTTTCTCTCTCACACACACTCTCCCTCTTACACACACATTCTCTCACACACTTTCTCACACCCTCACACACTCTCACACACACTCCTCTCTTTCTCTCTCTTACACAGTCTTACACATACTCACACATACTCTCTCACACACTCTCTCTCTCACACACACTCTTACACACACACTCACACATTGTCTCTCACTCTCACACTTTTCTCTCTCTCACACACACGCTCACACTCATACATTCTCTCTCACACACACTTTTCTCTCTTACCCACATTCTCTCTCTCTCTCCCTCACACACACTTTTCAATCTCTCACACACACTCTCTCACACTCACACACACTCTCTCTCTCACACAGACACTTTTCTCTCTCACACATTCTCTCGCTCTCTCTCTCCCTCACACATACTTTTCTATCTCTCAAAAACACTCTCTCTCACACTCACACATTCTCTCACTCTCTCACACAGACACTTTTCTCTCTCACACATTATCTCTCTCCCTCACACACACTTTTCTATCTCTCACNTTAACAACTCTTATTGCCTTTTTGGCAATGCTGTTACAGTGAGCTCTGGGGTTTAGATCATTTGAGATGAGTACTCCAAGGTCCTTGACTGAGTGAAGGTTGTCTATGAGATCGTATCCATCCAGTTTGTATTTGGTCTTCTGATTTTTGTTGCCAATGTGTAAGACAGAGCATTTGTTGGTTGAGATTTGCAGTTGCCAATTGTTTTCACCATTCCGACACACACAAGGTCGCTTTGTAGGGCAACAGCATTGCCGGTGGTCTTGAATACTTTTACATCATCAGCGAAGAGGACGCAGATGCCTATAATATGATTGCAATGGTCGTTTATGTAAAATGTAAAGGGTTTGGGGCCCAAAACGCTGCCTTGGGGGACACCGCGGTTAACTGGTGCAGGGTTTGATGAGGCATTCCCTATTTTGACTACTTGTCTATTTGACGAGAACGCAGCTATCCACTTATGCAGGCATCCGGAAATGCCGTGAGAGTTTAGTTTGAACCACTGAATCGAAAGCTTTGCAGAAGTCAAAGTGAATTGCGTCTATTGCTTTACCCCGATCGTGTCGTGCAGTCCATATTAATTTTGCAGTGTAGGAGTTGCAGATTACAGGGCAATTTTTCCCCCCTGAAACCAAACTCCTTGTTAGAGACTTAACAAGCAGTTTGTGAAGCCATGTTGTTGTTGTTGTTGTTGTTGTTCTTCTTCTTCTTCTTCTTCTTCCTCTTCCCATTCCCCTTCTCCTTCGCCTTCTCCTTCCTCGACCATTTTTCCATGACCGAGCAAATGATCTGAACCAGCTGTGTCCGGCCAAAAAGTTACAAGGAAAAGGGGGACGCAGAGAGTCCCCCCGAACGCCTCAAATTGATGTTGCAAACTTTTGCAGGCGGAGGCCTCCTTCCAGTTTTGTAAAAAAAAAACCTACACACTACACACACACAAGCACACACAGAACAACCAGGATCTCCCCCCCCCTCCCCTTCCCATTTTAGGTCAGTCAGCCCAAAGTGCCCTTGATTTCCCTTTAATTTAACAGTTCTGTCTCCCTTTTGCAGTTAAATGGAGTGTTCATTATTGAGGGGTCCTCCCTCCTTCCCCCCCCCCCCACATTGCCCTTTCTTATCCTCCTCCTCCTCTTCCTCCCCCTCCCCTGGCTTTCTGAAGGTCTGTGTGGTGCAGTTTAATGAATATTTGGCACAAAGCAGTCTTTCACGCCAGGCGAAGAATAGGCTGGCCTGTTTAGGTCTTGGAAGGCTCTATGTCAAACCTTTTCCATAATGCTTGTCAGGCAGGGAGAGAAATTCCCACTGCTGACTTACTCGATTGACGAGCAGATTAAGACGCAAGCAGGAAATGAGATTGTATGTGGGGGTGGGGTGGGGGTGGGGGACACCTGTTTGGCCGCTCTCATTTTCCCATCGCTGGAGGGAGAAAGGAAGAAAAGAAAAAGGGGTCCACTTTGATCAAATTAAAGAGAGAGAGAGAGAGAGAGAAGAAGGGGGAGGG